ATATTTATGTGTGTGTGCATGTATGTAAATATATATCTATATGTGGACGTTGATATCTGGTCAATTTGTCCTTGTGGACATTGTCTACATGTTTTATTGTGCGTGTTACTTAGCTCATTCGGCTGGCAACAAAACAGACTCAGAGAGGTCGAGAAACTGCGGAATGTTCTTGTATATTAGTACATGTATGAGTCGTGGGCCTCATAAATCAAGCCTGGCATGTGTGCCATGGCTGTATGGGTTCTTGGATCAGTCGCGCTTGTTTTGTGTGCACATTGTCCCATTCCGTTATGCAGTTGTTCTTAGGGTTTTAGGGTTCTTGTCACCTTCCATGTGGATTGAATCTCTTGTTAACGTTCGGCACTGACACTCCCACCAGACTTGTTTGTGCATGGCGACTTGGCTGCTATCCTTGATTCACATCCCCCCGATCGCTTCACTCACCAACTGACTTCTCTGAACCATCCTTAACTGCACACAGAGATTCAACGATGCCGTGTTACGGTTAGGAGCTGTGCGCCAGGCGTTTAGCACAGTAGAGACAATTAAAGAGGAATCCAGGAAACGGCTGGGTGCCTCCCGGGCGGAAGACGACAAGGTGCTGACTGACATGTACCTGGAATTACAACGGAGAGACCCCCTATTCAACGGTGCTGCGCCGAAGGATAACGATGAGGTGCTGATGTACCTGGAGGTATGTATGTATGCATACGATTGATGCAGATGTGGTGAGAGGCAGGCGTATGTGTGGGTGTGGGTATGGGTGTTTTAGGGTTTAGGGTTGTGTGTAGTATGTACGCATGTGCGTAGGTGGTCAGCGATAAGAAAGTGCTGATTAACATGCACCTAGAACTGTAGTGAAGGGATTCGCTTCAACGGTGCTGCCCCGAAGGATAACGGCGACGTACTGATGTACCTGGAGGTATGTATGTATAAGTTTGATGCAGATGTGGCTAGATGCACGGGTATGTGTGTGTATATGTGTAGTATGTGTGTATGTGTGGTACGTTATGTGTGTGTGCTTATGTAGTGCGTGCGAGTGTGAGTGAATGTTCAGAGACGATCATGTACTGGCGGGCATGTTCCTAGAATTACACAAAGGAGACACGGTATACAATGGTGCTACTCCCAAGGACGACTATCTGGAGCCGCTACATGTGGAGATGTATTTGCATAAGCTGTGTGCTGTGTTCAAGCAAAGCCTGGAAGCATTCCGAGTTATATATATTAAATAATATGTATCAATTAATATATATATATATATATATATATATATATATATGTGTGTGTGTGTGTGTA